AAGCATTCAGCAGGCCGCAGCGTCTGCGGCCTCAACAGCGTCAAAACGTGACTCAACAGCGCCAACTACACACGACATGGACTCATGGTTTAGAAATCACGCACAGAAGAAGCAAACCCTTACCTTGGACAAGTGAGCTTTAGCATCTCATCATGGAGAGGGGGGGGTGTCCAAGCTGCTGCGCCAAAACGCACCGAGGAGCAAACTGCGTTATTTCTCCTTTAAGCGGACTGTTTGAAAAGCTGCTTGATTGCTGCCACTTTGTATTTTAGACACAATAAAGTCCCAACAAGCGCAGCGTTGCAGCAGCAGAGGAGACGGGAAGTCAGACAGGCCGCCAGGTGACCAGGTGCGTCAGGTGTGTGGCTGCGTGGACGGAGGTGGTCACGTGAGAGGGTTGCGTCGCGCTGGAGGTGTCAGGACTGACGCCCCGCTTTGCTGCACGAGTTTAACAGTCAAGTGTTCACCATCAGAGGTTTATTTTTGGCATTTCAGTGTTTAAAAAACTGAAAGAAAGGGAAAGTGAACCGTGCACCTGTGCGTCAAAAACATGCAGAACACGTCATTGCACAAAGTGTGATTAAAATAAACAATAATTCTGTCAGTGCATTCACAGTTTTTCGGTACACTAAGAAATGTGCAAATATAAGAACTAAAAATATAGTCAAAATAAATAAAATAAAGTGTAACCTATGAATCCAGTGATGCAGTGCAGCAGCAGCAGCTGATGATGAACTGCTGCAGGCTGCACATTACTGAACATCTATGAAAATGCAATGGCTTCAGGTAGTGCAAGAAAGTACACACAAAGTGTGTGTACTCACAGGTTCAGTGTAGAAACACACGGTGCTGCATGAAAAGATCACAGAATGAAGCGTGTACAGTACAGGAGCTCAAACATGCAAATAAACACACACAGATGCAGCCGCCTACAGCTCAGAGTGAATGACTGTGTGTGTGTGTGTGTGTGTGTGTGTGTGTGTGTTTGACAGCTTGAGGAATGAAGCTGCAGCTCCTTCTGGTGGTCCCGGACTTGATATTGTGTGATTTCATCCGAGGTCGGGGGTCAAACCGTTTGTAAAAGGGCCAGAAGGTCTCCTCCAGGATGCTGGAGGCCTTTTTAAAACCTCTCTGTGGCCTGACTGGAGGCTTAAAATAATCACTGAAGTAATTTTTCTCTGGTGCCCAAAACATAAAGTTTAAAAACAAACCACTGTTTATGGTTCTGTTCTTTGTGCGTTTCAGTTGCTCCCCCGGAGGCCGACCTGCAGGACGACTCCATCAATCACTGCGATGCTACAAAGCAACGCGTCATCTGAGGTGATTACACATATTTGTCTGTTTGAAACTGATACGGCGGCGGCGGTTAGCGGAGAGGGGTTGCAGCCAGCTGTGCAAACACAGTGGAGATGATTCATGAACCCACCTGTGAGCTCCTAATGATCCAAAATGACACTGGAGCCGCTGCAGCTCCGGCAACACAGCTCACTGATTTAGCTCCGCAGCACAGACTGATGAATATACAGCACAGGGGAGCAGGTAGGTGGTCTCACAGGGCGGACGGATGGGCAGCTCTGGCCATTTCTTACACTTTAATCATCCGTTATCCACTTTTATCACTTTGTGTATTCAACTGCAGCTACATACATCTGACAGCAGCCTCTGCACTGAAATAATATTTGAGTAAACCTTTGATTGTGTGTGTGTGTGTGTGTGTGTGTGTGTACCAGAGAGGAGCTGGAAAGATGAAAGCATCGATAAAGAATGTGTGCAGAAACAAGGGCTGCAAGTCCACAGCTGGAACATCACAGGAGATGAACTAAACTCTGTAGATGTTTTCCTCTCGGTTAAAATATTCCAGAGCCGACATGTCTGCAGAAGAAAAAGCAGCACAGACATGAAATATGTCGGTGAAGTCGTGTTAATCAGCACACTGTGTCTGGCTTTCAGCTTTTGGTTGAACTTCTTGGGATAAAACGAGGATCTAAACCCCTTCTTGTTTTTTTTTTTTAACCTCCACTCACCTACATGGTTCATCAAGTGATTTAAATTAACAATAAACGCCTGTAGTGGAGCTTTTATATAAGAATTATGTATAGAAATAAAGAAATGAAATAGAAGCACAGTGACCTCAGAGTCAGATTTGGTTTTTTGCTGCTTAAAGTATTTGAATATGAGATTTAAAAAAGAGAAAACTACAAGTAGACAAAAGCACACGCAGCTTTTATTGCAAGCTTCTTCTTTTTTGTGTTTCATCCTTTTATACATTTAAATGTCGAGTCGTGTTTGTTCAGATGTGCAAAAACGAATTAACTCATGAATGTGGAGGAAAATAAAAGTGGTAATGTCTAATAATGACCCTTTTCAAATCCTGAACATTTGGTCTTTAGAAATGCTTTTTTTTTCAGGTCTTAACAGCCTCCAGTCGCTGTTCTCCGTCTCCAGCCTCCTTCTCGGCATCGAGCTTCGACAGAGTTTAAATCTGGTGGCTGACCTTCCCGGCTTCGTCTCTGATAAAAGCTCCGGCTGTGTGTCGCCCGTCTTGCTGCTGCAGGATGAAGGTCTGGCCAATTTCGGAGGAACTGTTTTGCACAAAGCCGGACAAAATGTGTCTCCTGAATCCGTTGTGCTGCTGTAAAGACGAGTCAGTCGGTTCCAGGAGAGGCCACACGTACCCAGACCACGACATTACCTCCACCGTACCGTTTCAGAAGCCTGACCCCGGTGTCAGGGCTACAAACCGGTGGTTTTCATTCTTGTCCACACACGCTGTTCCCCACACTTTGATTATCAGAGGTTTTACTGAACAGAGGAGCTGCGTTTCTGCCAGTCTTCATGTTGTCTTCTGAAGACACAAAATGAAAGATCAACAGCCACTGATTCTTCTCTGTGTGCAAAAAGCAAAAAGCAAAAAGCAACACCCGTCTTTTCTTTCTTTAGTGTTGCAGCCATGTGTGTGAAATCCCTCCTCGTATTTCAGAGTCACCTTTTATTTTTAAATCCAAATGCGTCCAAGTCCGTCCTTCCTGCTGCTGTTAGACTTTACAACCTCCTCCCAGAAGGCCGCACACACAAAACCTGCCGTACTGCTGATAAATAGATTGTACATTTAAAAACCCTGTGCAATATCTTTTTTTTATACATACTAGAACATATGGCATACCGCTATATATCTACTTAAGTACCATCTGTGCATTATTAATACTTCTCTCAGCAGCTTATTTCTGTGCAATGCTGTTATTTCTAGTACGCATGTTTATTTTAATTTTAACTATATTTCTGAAATGTTTTCACTGCCTTTGCTGCTGTCACGCTGCAAACTCCTCCTCTGTGGGATCAATAAAGGCTGATCTTATCTTATCTGTGTGTAAATAAACGGCCGCTCGGTGTAGAGGAAACAGGTCGTGAAGAGATTATTATTAGTAAGGTCGAGCAGAAATACATCAACTGCATTAAAGGCGTCATGATGTGCACAGAATTACAAATACAGAAGAAAACACTGCACGTGGGGAAAAAGGCAGCAACACATCAGCACAATCTGCAGATGAACACGTTCCCACCACACACAGGATCTATGAGGAAAACGATTACCTGGTGCAGGTACGTAAACGGCCACATGATGGCAGAATGGGACCGTCAGTGATTCAGTGCGACTGCAGAGAACCAACAACAGATCCACCAAGACGGTATCAATGACTTTCCAGGCATTGTTGATGTGTCTGTATCATATCTATAGTGTACGTGTGGTTCAGGGTTCTGTATGGAGACACCTGAACAAGCACTCAGGAGGTATTTACACCCTGTTTTATCCTACAAAGCCAAAGCAGAGAAACTCGAAGGCCAGCCTCAAGGCCAAATTCACAGCAGTTATGTGATCATCTGTGGATATCGTTATCGATGTCTTAGATTTAAGAGTTCTGCAGGAACCTTGAAAATTGTGACCCATTTCCCCTAAATGCTGGGATCCATCCATCATCTATACACCGCTTAATCCTCACTAGGGGGGCTGGAGTCTATCCCAGCTGACTCAGGGTGAAGGCAGGTTCACCTGGACAGGTAACCAGTCTATCACAGGGCTACACTTAGAGACAGACAACCAAGCACACTCACATTCACACCTACGGACAATTTACAATCACCAATTAACCTCAGCATGTTTCTGGACTGTGGGAGGAAGCCGGAGAACCCGGAGAGAACCCACGCTGCACGGGGAGAACATGGAGACTCCACGCAGGAAGATCCCGGGTGTCCTCACTGGGACGTGAACCGGTGACCTTCTAGCTGCAAGGCGACGGTGCTAACCACAGCGCAGCCCTGTATGTTGGGATTTGTACATAAAAGAAAAATGTTTAAGACCAGTTTTATTTCTAGTGATCATCAGCGTTCACTGAGTTATTGTAGAAACATGAACGAGGAGCCGCTCCCTGAACAGGTTCATTATAAGACAATGAAAACACAACTGGTAGCTAAAAGTGATTCTACACTAGCAAAGACATGATCATCAGTACTGGACCTGTTCCATGTCTGACACTGACTTGCTCAAATTCAAGGCTGTTGAACTGGATTTCAGCATACAGGGGAAATAGATGACATTCTACTTTTAAACGCAGGCATTTTTTAATAAAGTTGAACTGAAATTATTTCACTCATTTGAATGGAAACTGTTCTGCTCACCCACACATCAGGCAACGCTGCCGCAAAGCAAAAGAGCTTCCTCATTATTAAAATGTGAATCCTCAGACAAAATGCCAGAGCAGCATCAGATCCACAGAGCTTCCTCTTTGCTGTATTGTTTTATTTTTGCAGATATAAAGACCTTCAGGTAAACTGGCTGCTACTGGCTCTGAGCTGTGGCTGTCAGACTTTGTGATAAAGGATCCAGAACCCTACTGGGCAAAAACATGAATAAAAAATATATTAAAACACGCTGTAAGTTCTCTTCTACCCAAAAACCAGTTCAGAAAAGGTCCATATTAAGATGTACAACACAGACTGACGGATTAAATCATTCACACTCTTTTATTGCATTTTTGTGCATTAATATAAATATAAATACATAAACTGATCAGCAAAAGTCAAGGAAAATTCAGCATCTTTCCCTCTTTGTTCTGGTATAATCAATAACATCTTCAAAAAAAAAAGTAACACAGGGAATAAATTATGATTATTATGAAGTCAATCATTCATTAAATTCTTCAAGGCACACAACTGTGAGATTTGATCAAACTTGTCTGACTCTTTGGTCCATGTTGTGTGTTTTCTCCACAATAACAGTTTTTATTTGTTTCATTCTAATTATATTTAAAATAAAAGTCCAGTGTTAAAATATATTTAGCTTTTTTTCTGGAGAAACATATACATATATTCCTGAGTTTAACCTTAGAAAATGACACCTAAGAGTTTTGGTGAATACATTCAGTTGCATCAACGAAGCTTCCCTAAAACAAATGTGGTCTCGTACACAGCGTACAGCTCAGACATGTAAAACCGGATCCCGTTCCTTAATAAATAAACGCCCAGATATACTGCAGTATGTTCATCTCATTTGTTTAATCGGCTCTTCTTTATGTATAAAAACCTGGTGATGCTTTAGATTAAAATCCTAAATGTTCACAAACTTCCAGGCACCACCGTGGTGTCGACTTTGACTCGTTATAATAACACGAGCCTGCGTACTCGTGCAGAAGTGCAGCCCAGCCCCAAAACTACGACGTGAAACCACACAAAAAAGACAAAAAAAAAAGTTATCCAGCAAAGAACTAGTGCAGCCAGTCCAACACATAATCACATCGACGAACAAGAAAAATAAATCTACAGTGGCTATGTCACCATTGTGGAGCGTTTTGGCACTTAATAAGTTATAAAAACTCTATAAATTAGTCAAACCAACATTCCTGGACTGATATTCATCGATTCACGTGCTGCCTGCATCAAAAATCAAGCTAAAAAAAAAAATGTTGATCCTGAGGTTTAAGGTAAAAAATGTAAACTTGTGTGAAGTCTGATAAACAGCCTCACTTGTGACTGAACCACTGACTTAAACCGCCACCGTGAAGCCGACGTGCTAGGCGGTCGAGCTTTGTTCGTCAGCTGAGTGAACGCGTTTGTGTTTGTGGAGTTTCAACCAGGTGGAGAACTTCTCCTCACAGCTGTCGCACTGATAAGGCTTCTCCCCCGTATGCAGCCTCACGTGTTCCTTCAGGTCTGTTTTGTGACCGAACATCTTGTCGCACACGTCGCACTTGTACGGCTTCTCGCCCGTGTGTGTCCGGATGTGAATCTTCAAAGTCGTCCCGGTGGTGAACTTCTTCTTGCAGTACGTGCACTTGAAGGGCTTCTCGCCCGTGTGCACGCGCTGGTGGTTTTTAAACGAGGACGAGTCCGCGAACTCTTTCCCGCAGTCGGCGCAGGTGTAAGGCTTCTCCCCCGTGTGGATCCTCATGTGCTTCTTCATGTTCACAGAGGCGCTGAAGCTTTTCCCGCACGTGCTGCATTTGTAGGGTTTCTCCCCGGTGTGCACCCTGAGGTGGAGGTCGAGGTTGTAGCGCCGGTGGAACCCGTTCCCGCAAATGTCGCATTTGAAAGGCTTCTCGGCAGAATGAGTCACTAGATGTTTGTTCAAGTCCCAGCTCTCCCGGAACATCTTCCCGCAAGTGTCGCACTTGAAGGTCTTCTCGACGGTGTGTGACTTCATGTGGAATTTGTAGTTTTTGAAGTTGGTCATCACTTTGCCGCAGGTGTCGCACTTGTACGGCGTTGCATCAGCCTTGGCGCTGCCGTCGTCGCTGGACGTGGTGCTCTCACGCTTGCGTCTCTTCTTCCGAGCCGAGTCGGTACTTTGGTTCGACGCTGCGCTCCCCTCGTTTTGTCTCTTGAGTTTTGACGCCTCCTTGCTTCTTCTTGACATTCTGCTTTCCCTGTTAGGTTTCTTATTCGCTGTTGTTACCTCATTACTTCCAGACGGCGACGTGCTCTCATCTTCATGTTTCCTATTTGATGCTGATTCGGGGCTTTTAGCCGGCGCTGTGTTATCTTGCGTTGGCTCGGTGACTCCAGCAGAAGGTGCTTTCCCGTCACTGCGGTTCTTATTTTGTGCTGGTTTAGTGCTTGAAGTTGATGCTTCGTTCCCCTCGTTGGCTCTTGCAGTCTGATCTGTGCTTCCACTAGATTTCGTCCTCTCCTTGGTTTTCTTACTTCTCCTCGGTTCAGTGTTTGCAGCTGCTGTGTCATCGTCACATTTAGGATTTGCCGTTGGCTCAGTGTCTCCGTTTGATCTTGTGCTCTCGTCGTTACGCTTCTTGTTTGCTGTCTTTGGAGAACTTGATGTTGTTTTTCTGTCAGCGGCCTTCTTATCTGTATTCGATGGCTTCTTCTCGCCATCACTTTTGTTCTGTTTTGGTGCAGGTTCAGTCGCTGACGTCTCCTCGTTGGACTTCTTGTTTGGCGTTAGCTCGGTGCTTCCAGGTGGCGTGTCGTTATCATCGCTTTCCATATTTGGTGTTGGCTCGGTGTTTTCATTCTCTGGTGGGTTTTCATCATCCTGTTTCTCATCTGGTGTCGCGTGGTCGCATCTTGCTGCTGTTGTGGTCTTGTTGTGTCTCGATTCTGCCATCTGCGTTTCCTCCAACGTGTCCTCAGTGCTTACAGCTAATGTGTCGGTGCCATCACTGCTTTGCTCATCTGATGGCTGCTCATTACTTGTGGCTGACGTTGCGTTCTCGTCATCGCTCTCAGTGTTCATTGTTAAAGCTGTGCAGTCATCGTGGCCCTCCTGATCGGACTCGACATCTGTAGTTGGTGTTGCACCTTCATCGTTACAAGTCATGTGATCCTGGTGGTCACTGTTTGGTGCCGATGCTGCAGAATTCTCCCCGTCAGATCCGGACGGTGTGTCTTTGTTGGATTGCGGATCTTTATTTGCGTCACTCTGACTTCGGTCCGCGGGCTGAGACCGATCGCTGCAGACGCTTGGATCACAAGCTGGCATCGACTTGGACTCGCCCGTCGCCTTCTGCTGCTCCTGACTGATGGATATTTCCTCGTGTTCGTCTTTAATCTGCTGAACCAAACTGGAGTCGGACTCGTGGTCCTGGTGAACCTGGCCCTCCTCACCGACGGATATCTGTGGCAGCTCTGAAGACAAGGACAGAGGAAAGGGGCAAAAATGAAATGCAGTAGATATGCAAGTCTATATTTAATAGTCGTGGTTAAAAATAATGAAAAATGCAAATTGGAAGCTTTACAGTTACAGCTAGGACTGAGAACTGAAGACAGTTTTCTGAAAGACCTCCTTTTGTTATATTAAATCTAAGGAACCCCCTCCAGTGCCCGTGTGTGTAATCATGAGATAATACTGTCCTCGGTGCACAGTCATCAGGCTCAGATGATCCTGTAATAACTGTTGATTGATGTTCTTTTCATGCATATAGCCGCTGGTCTGTGGTTCACTCTGTGATGAGGAGAAAGTTCTAACACTGCTGCACACACTCTGTTACCCTTTTATTGCAAAATAACTGACTGCACAAATGCTGTGTAAAGAAATCAAATAAAAGCAGTATTGTACAGAAATAGCTCCCAGTCTTTCTTTTATGTGTTTATCGTTACTATATGACACTTATTAAAATAAATGTCACAACCACAAACTAATCTT